ACACATTCCTTCAAGGAAGGCCAGGCCTTTAATTTATCTTGTAATTTTGAATACTACCTGACGGCTGAATAACCACATCTTACTTTTTTTCTTAAATGCTAAAAAGACAACTCTGTGTAAGAATTATTAAGCAGCACAGATGGAAAGGCTGTCTTTGGTTCAGTTTCTTTTTGAGTCTTGTGGCAGTGAGAACTCATTAGGGAGTAATGTGAGAACTCGACTACATTGAGATGGCTCTTTAATATGCTGTTGAAGCTCTGCTTTGTAGTTTTACCACATGCAGTCTGAGTGATGAGCCTGAGGTTTAAAGTATATACTGGGGGCTCTGCGCTACTATTCACAGACCGGCTTACGCTTTCAGAATGCAGTACTGGAGGTGCTCAGCATGTTGAGTGTTTGCCAGGATTTCCTATAGGTCTACCTATCCCCAGCCTCCTGTACCATCAGTCTAATCCCAGTTCTCTGTCGGGCTTTGGCCTCAGAGGGCAGATCTGCATTTCTTCAGTGTCTTCATTTCCATAAATCGGAAGATGATCTACTGTGGTGCTCTGTCTGCAGCCGAGCTGTTTGTACGTTGTTGTGTGCTCCTCTCCGTCTCATTTATAGCACAGCAGGTTGACAGAGTAATAAAAGGATGTCAATGGGGGATTTGACCTCTACAAATACTCCAATTATTATTCCTCCAAAACACCCTATATCTGTCTGCAACCCCTCTGGACCGCAGAGGCATTCAGGTCCCAGTGCCCATAAAAATCACTTACGCTTTAACGCACAGAATGAGAAAGCAACAAGAGCGCGGCCGAAGAGAACAAGAAGCGCAGAGAAACACTCCGTTATGTTTATCACTCACACGTTCAGTGCGTCACTCAGCAACTGAGCGCTTATATCACAATTCTGCAGCTGTCTAAGACAAACATCTGTTTATATTAAACATCAGCTTCTTTCATTTTGTGTTTGGTAAAATAGTCCATCTGCCACACACACACAGTCACACATTGTAGGAAGACGTTCTACTGAAGCATACGTCTTTGCTTCCATCACTTTTTGTTTCAGCTTTTGTTCACAATCCCCTTTTTGTGTGAACTTCATCACAAAAGTCTGCAGATGTGAAGCAACAAGGACAGATTCCTCTTTGTTTTGCTTTGTGTCTTGCCCTCCCTTGCTCTTTTGTTCCTCAGGCTTTAATCATTTCTATTAACAGACCGCCTGTTTGGCCTCCTTCTACTCTTCATACTGACCACTTCTTATTCAGTCCAATCTGGTTGCCAGGTAATGCAAAATAAAAACTGGGATTTTTTTTTTTAATAAAATGTAGGACAGGATTACAGAACAGTTTTGTTTCCCAAAAATGTAGGTGTTTTAACTTAGGATCTGTAAAAAAGTATATAATTTTTGTGATCACAGATAAATAAATAATTTCCCTGCCACTATATTTGTTTATATGTATTATATTCATTTAAAAAAAAATAGTTTGAAGCTGTAGAGGAAAGTTTTAATCCAAAACTAAGGCTGGTATTTTACTGTTATGTTCAAAGTAACAATTTAGTCTGGCAGTGCAGTATATTCAAATTAAAATGTCATCATAAAAAAGAATAATCATTTAATTGTTTTAGCCAGGTTTGCTGTCTCCTGCTGTCCTCACATCGCTGGTTGCGGTGTGTTTAATCACGTTGTGACTTTTCATTAATAACCTTTATTTAACCAAAGAACCTCCAGATATAAATTGTCACTTTTTTTACGAGAGACTTTGTCATGAAGGCAGCATAGAGGTGTTCCATCACAGCAGCCGGAGAACAAATAATTTATATAAGTGACCCTGTGGACCCTTAAACAATATCTGATTTCTGTACAGCTCTGCTTCTGCAGCAGGCCTAACCTTTTATAAAGACTGTTTTTTTCTCTGGGATTCAAATCTAATTTATCTGAAAATAAATCATCTTAAATTATCTGTCTGTAGATGGATTATAATATTTTAAAAATCAGTATTTTCACACACACAAAAAAAGAAAAAAATTCTTACAATTTTAAGTGTAACGTGTATTTTTATATTTTCAAAATGTTTCCGTTAATTTGGATTCAACTAATAGTACAATGTCTTATGAACTACATATTCAAGATGGCTACCACAGCTAAACGATCTTAGCCAACACAAAAATGGGTACAACTTAGTCAGTTTTATTCATATTAAGCTAAGTTTTATTTTGGGAGTAGCTGAAGCTCAAAACCAACTCGTACTCTGAGCATTAATAAATCTAAAATAATGTTGCAATATGAAACGATCACACATAACTTCATTTACAAGGTTTGACCAAAATGGCTATTATTCTTCTCATGATAAAATGGTCTTGATGGTAGGAAATATGCATTTCTTCAACCAGTGATTGGCTTTTCACTTATATTTAAAAAAAGCTTTAAATAAAAATTGCTAGACTTTTTAATATCAAGCCCCAATGAAGGATAAAACAAGAAAAATCAAGTTTGTGTCTTGCATTTCTGCATTGTTCATGAAACGTGGATGGCTTTTTTATTGCTTTTGTTATTTCAGAGAAGCTGCAGCAGTAGAAGCTATACATTTAGAATAAAGAAAATTCAGTGAAACTTTCATTTTTAGAGGAATCTAATAACAATGGACCAAGAATCAGTTGACTGATTTTGTTCTGCGGATTTTGGCCATTTAAGTGAATCTAATTCTTCAATACCTGTGCAAACTTTATCACTTACTTTGTAGAAACATGAATGATAGAACTTTATTTAAAAAGGGACAATGTACAACTCAAACATAAATGTCATCATTTGATGTGCTGTACCAGATTATAGCTAAAGCTAATTTGCATCTACAGTCCCTTGACAAATAAACCAAAAAAAGATATACAATGCAATAATAAAATTACAAAATATAACACTGTTATTTTCAAATCCAATTACACAGACACACATACAGATAATGGCATTATATGAAATTATTCATTTCATAGAAATGAAGCCGCTACAACCAGGTCACTGCAGGCTTCAACACATTTTTTTCTTATGTAAGAATGCTCTTATGCTCTTTTCTTTATTATTTTTAGACATATGAGTTCTTCTAAAAGTTGTTAAATTATGTTCATTTAGATAACACCATTATCTGTATATTTTATTAAAAGAAAAATACATGTTGGCCCCCAACAACACTGGCTATTAGCCGGACTTATTTCAAAAATTGTGACAAAGGTGAAGGACGCTTTTTGTTAATAGTTTGAATGCATGAATGTGTTTGTGTAAATTCATGTTCTCTCTTTTCTCATCAGTGGTTATAAAAAAACATTCAAACAAGACACTCCACTAAACTTTACATGTGATCAGGGATTGTTCAACTTCACCTCCTGCCAACTTTTCTGAATACTTTAAGTATGTGTATCCAGGTTTTTGTCTATAAATTGAGTTTATGCCTTGAAGTCAAAGAGAAGCTCAGCAACATTAAAGTTCTCCCTTTTTCTCCTGTAAAGCATGCATTAAGATCAAGGGAAATATGAAACTACTTAAAATTAAGCAGCTTATGCCTTTTTGTCAAGCAGGGTCTAATCAGGGTAATTCAAGCCATTTGCTACATTCACTTGCAAGCTTAACGTGTCAACCATGACCAAATTAACAAAAAGTTGGGCTCAGTGTTTCCCTGCTTTACCATAAGTGGGATCCACACACCTGAGAGTAAGAGAACAGGCAAAGGATGAAAAGCATTAAAATATAATAATCATCTGCTTTCACTGCAGCACATTTGACTGCCAGGCCATTCTGTTTTTAAATTAATTGTTTACAACACGCCTACGTATAAAACCAACCAAAAAAATAAAAGCTAAACACTCACTTGACGCTTGTATTTTCTCTGGTGTTTGTCTCCCATCGTCAAGTTATGTAAGGGGGGTGGGGGGTGGTTTGAAATACCTTGCACGTTGTGAGTATTGCAACTTGAAAATTAAGTGAGGTAACAACCTCCATTTCGATTTATGGCTATATCTAGGTGTGAAATGTTCCTTTCAAATTTTTAGTTGTCAAGTCAAAATCCAAGATGGCCAATGTCATAAATGTCCATTCATGTTGTTAGTATGACAACTTAAAAAAATAAGTGAGGTATGAATTTCATTTTGGCATGTGGCTGCATCTACTGTAGGTGTAAGATGGGTCACTAACAAAATATGGGTTTTCATGTCAAAATCCAAGATGGCTGCTGCCATATATTTATATATGAAAAAGTTGTAAGCTGGATACATTCAAATATAAACAACATGCCGGCATCCGTTTTGGTGTGTGGCTTCATCCAGTCGTAAGAAAGGTCTCTATCAAAAACTGGGTTGTCATATCAAAGTCCAAGATGGCCATCTCCGT